CATCCATGATCTACTTGCCTCTCAAAAGTGCCACCTAGGAAAAAATGAAGCTTTATGGGAACATCTACATATAACAATTATTAGCCTTGACTTATTAAATGCTCAGTAAGTATTTTAAATGGATTGAAAAACATTTTTTGTACTGAGTTGAAAATTTTTAAAATTTGTTGATATGTTTTCTATAAATACACTTCTAAAAATTTCCTTTAGAATTTATAATATCCCTAGCAGTGTATAAATTCACAATGATTATCAAATATAGTTAAAAATTTATTCTAATATGATATGCCCAAAGAATGCTTATCATTCTTATTATTTTTAATGAGAAACAACTATTTTGAAAATAAGAAAGATTTTGCCATGATTTTATACTTGAAAAACTGATAATTTCCTTTGGTTTTATAAAGTTTATTAAGAGCTGCAGATGGATATAATTTGGTGGTAGAGTATTTGCCTAAGATGTGAGATGCCCTGTGTTCAATTCCCAGTAAAAAAAAAGAATTCATAACACTTATCATACAATGCAGGTGCCATATTTTTCAAATGTTAAGTAAACTTCCTAGGATTTGCATTATGTTTTCTCATCTAAATCATAAAATATTTAGAGCTGTGGTAAATATAAACTGGGAAGATATCATCTCTTAGATTTTAACATTTTTTAAATAGTTGATTTAATTGTCAGTTGGACTAGATAAAAAGACTCCTTGGAGAGCTGACTGGATCATGAGTAAGTACACTTATTAGTGGATTAATATACTGATGTCCATAAATGATGTGATATTAGGAGGCTAGGCCCAGTTGGAGTTTGGTCAATGGGGCATGACTATGAAGGTATATTTCTTCCTGACTCTGTTACCCTGGGTTCTGCTTCTAGCCACAGTGAGGTAAGAAGCATTTCTCTACCAAGCTCTATTGCCATGATTTTCTGCTTTGGAGCCATTCAATCATGAACTGAAACATGATCCAAAGAGATCTTTCTTTCTTTTAGTGTGGATGTTGGCTATTTTGTCCTCGTAATGAGAAAGCTGGCCAGTACTGAAAATAGGTGGTAGAGAAGAGAATCAGTTCTGTGGCTATTCCTAACCACATGGTTCAGAAGCCTTTAACATTGGTTTTCAGGAATGATTTGGAAAGATTTGGAAATGGAGGCTAGAGTCCTAAAATCCTTTAAGCAGAGCCTGATGGGCATATCTGATTGCACTGCAGAGGATGACAATGAATCTAAGAATGTGGAAACTAAAGACTATGCTCATGAGTTTTGAGTAGGGTAAAATGACTGTATTGGGCTTTGATCTAGAAAGCATGCATATTATACTCTAAAAAAGAAACACTCTATGTTTTGCCCCTGTTCTGAGATTTTATGGGAGGGTGATCTGGCAGAGGAAATTTCAAGATAGCACAATGTTCATAGTATCTCATGGGTAACACTGGGTGCTTTTAGACAGATGCATAAGTGAGAATCAGAGAGTCAGAAGGAAAAAGGACAGCAGAGTGTTTTGACTCCAAACAACCACACAAAAAGTTGAGGACAAAGCAAATGTGATTGTCAAAGAAATCCATGCCTTTGGAAAGAAAGCAAGTACTGTGAAAGAAGAAGAAAAATGTCTTGAAAGTATCTTAGGAGTTACCAAGATTCTACTAGTCTCATAATCAAGGATGCAAAAATATATTCTTTCTTTCAGAAGAGAGCTCCTGCTCCAGAAGATTTGCCTAGGAGAAGTAAGTTCATGGGATTTATTTTTCCTTATTTAAATATCCAGCATTCAAAGCAGTTGTTCTGGTGAATGCTCAAGCTGTTGTCAAACTTTGGAATCATCCATGGTGTCCTGTTCTTTTAGGCATGCAGAATGCAAGAACCACGAGTCATGGACTCTTCATCCAGATTCCAAAGGAAGGTTTTGTGGCAACACAAAATGTCCCTATGAGGTGTGTCTACAAATCTGTGGGAGTAAGTGTGAGGGTACTGTACCCAAAAGTCAAAGATGCTAGTAATGTGAAAGATCTATGAAGGCAAGCCACAGGCAGTAAGCAAAGCCATCCAAAGAGAAAAAGACCATTTGGGTTTCAACTGCCCAGGTCATAAGGATGGAATCACCCAAGTTCTCTGGAATTCCCATTTTAATTCCATGTTCCCCTAGATGCAGATGCAAAGCTAAAGAACTTAATGTTTTCTCTGCTGGGCTATGGTCCTGCCTTTGTGAGATTCTTTGCTATTTATCCCGTTTTTTATTTTATTTTTTTTTCCTTTTGGAATGAGAATATTTATCTTTCACTATTGCACTTTGGGAATATGTAATTTTTTAGAAATCTATAAGAGTTTCTAGCTGGGACTTTGTCTTGAGTCTCACTTGAACCTTTTTGGTAATGGTGGAAATGTTGAGACTCGGAGGAAGGAATAAATGTGTTTATAGACATACATAGGCTAAAGCAGGTTTGGTGAAAACATGATCTTGTTTTTCTCTGTATTTGAATACTATATTAGTCACTTTCCACATGTAGGATAAAATACCTAGCATCCACAACATTAAAGAGGAGAAGTTTAATTTGTGTTTCTAGTAACCCACTTCCAACAAGGCCCTATCTCCTAATAGCACATTCAGCTATGTATTCATTAGTGCCTCCATGATCTAGTGACCTCTCAAGAGTCTTACTTCGGACAGAATGAGACTTAATGAGGCCATTTTAGTCTAAACATTCCTTCCTTGTCCCCTAAAAGTCGCAGGTTCACGTCATTTGTAAAATGCACCTAACTCAACTTTTGAGTATTAGCAGATTCTAACAGTTACTGCATTGTTGATAAGGCCAAGTCCAATGTCTTCTCTGTGAATCAAGCAAACTCTGAGGCCTCTGTGAAAATAAATAAGAAAATTAAATATTCTCAAATATAATAGCCCAGAGTAAACTTTCCCACTCCACAAGGCAAGGCAAAAAGTGATAGAAAGTAATGTGACACTAACAAGACCAAAATCTGACAGGAAAAATATTAGATTCTGAAGCTCCATGTCCAACACTCCGGGGCATATTAAGCTGAGATGTGAGCACCAAAGGTCTTGGGGAGCCTCTGCCCCAATGGTCTTGTTGGTTGCAGATCACTTGGGCTCTCTCTTGGGCTGTATCTACTTGCTGCTTGTGGGTTTTTGCTTGTTTGTTTGTTTTTTTTTTCCCTGAACAGACATTCCACACTGCGGTCATGTTTCACTTTCTCAGCTCTGCATTGCAGCTTTGGCTTCCTTCTTACAGATTCACACATGACAAGCCATCCCACTGGCTCTGAGCGGGGCTTCCATATGTTGTTGCCTGGCCTCCCAGGCCTTCTTCTGGAATATGGGTGGTAGCCTTTGTGACCTATTAACTTTAGTATTCTACATGTCTGTAAAATGATATCACATGGATGATGCCAAGTTGTACTGGGAGCTTGTGTAGTCCCCTTGGACTCGGCTCACTGCCTGATTTCTGAACTCAGGTAGGCAGCCTGGAATGACTAGGACACACTGCGAGTCTCTTCTTGAGTCAACATCTTTCCAAGGCATACCTTTTTACACTCTTGAGCCTGGGAAGAATGGGGTTCCGTTAATTCCTGAGATTCCTTCAAGCCATTTTTGTCATTGCCTCATCTAAAGTATTTGATGTCTTGTAAACTTAATCTTTTTGGAAATCATATTATCCTTGATCCCTACTTTGCAGGAGCTACTTTCTGATAGATTCTGCTAGCCTGGGGATTAACTACATCCTCCCAACTTGGTACTGGGCCCAGAGAATTTATCTCTCCAAGAGTAACTTCTATGTTCTTCCCATTCCAGAGATAAATGTCCCACTTCCTTTGTGTGCATACACTGAGCCCTTTCCAATCCCAAGACTCCACAAATACTCAAGCCTTTACCTCCAGCCCCCAGTAAATCTTTCTGGCTCCTGTTTTACACAGATGCTCCTTCAAATCAGCAGTTAATACGTCATTTTTCCCACCTCCCAAAGTCCTCCCCCAGCCAAAACTGACAAAAGTAGTCCCACTTATTAGTTCTCCTTGGAGAGCCTCTGTACCCTCCCAGTGAAGCTCTCCCATGCCCACATTAAAGGCCTCTTCTTTTGTCTCCTTATCAATCTCCTTTTCTCTGAGATACTTTAGACTGACAGACAAAAATACTCAATCATTTTCGTGTTGGACCTGAAAACTTTTCACAATTTTCAATTCTTTCAGCTGTTTGTTCTCTGCAGATGTGTCTAAAAATAGCTGGAAATACCTATGTCAACTTGAGTACTTGGATACCTTAAAATTTTTCGGTCAGACCTGTTTAGTCCACTCACCTTAATCTCAGCTTCTGCACATTCTCAACATGGGAAAAACAGGCAAATTTTATACCAGAGTGTGACACACACGCCCTCTAGTCTAGCTACCTATGGGTTCTGTGTTCCCAACTGAAAACTTCTGAGCCTGGTCTTACTGTCTGTATTTATATCAATCTTCTGATCTTCTGAGATCCAATACCAATTGTTTTTTTCTTTTGAGCAAAATGGTTACAATTATGTATAAAAACAAACATTGTTTGTCTATAGTATAGTTTTCTAATGTGAATATAAACAATACAATTAATAATCTTTTACTAGAGTTAAACATGGTGAACTTCATTCATGGAGGAACTATGAAACCGAATTAAGTGCATTGAAAACATTGTATTCTTATTTTCATTTTTGCTGAAAGAACCTCCTAGGGTTCACCACTTATTGGCCCATGAAATGTGCTGATCCATTTATTTATTACCATGGCCAAATCCTTTCCTGGAGTTCAAAAAGAGGCAATAAGTAAGTAATGCTTCTCCAGGAAAGGTTGTTTTCTGCCTGGAGAAATTATTATTTTCATATTTGATCTGTTTTAATCTGTGAGAACAAGCATTGGCCACAGATCTCACTATATCCATACTGGTCTATCAAGAAACAGTCTTCCCTTTTGCACAGAGAAAGGAGGATAGTCAAATTTGAACATTAATGATAATTTCATTTTTGTTTTATATATGGAATGCTTCATGATTTTGTGTGTCATTCTTGCACAGGGCTTGTGCTAATTTTCTCTGTATCGTTCCAATCTTACTATGCATGCTGCTGAAGAGAGCACACTAATGATAGCTTCAACAGGAAGTTTGAATATTCTCTTTAATGTCCAAGGGGTGCTGGTCAGTGATGGGACTGAATTTAATTCCAGCATTCTTGACTAACCAAATCTCCTTAAGATCTGGTAAGGAAAGATCTGATTTTTATGGCTGCCTAATTTATCATTTGAAATTATAAACTTACTATTTATATTTTGGAACAATTTATTTTAAATATCAATTGCATTAAGAACAAGTAAAGAAAAGGCTGCTTAAAAATAGCTTTTCTCTCAGGACCAGGAATATGACTCAGTGGCACAGTGCCTGCCTGACAAGTGCAAGATCTGAGTTTGATTACTAGTACAAAAATAATTTGCAAAAATTGCTATCATCTAATATTCATATAAAAAGGAGGGTAACCACTGCGTATATTCTCAAAAAAATTGAATATAGTTTTAAATATACACACTTGCAAATAATATCACAAATATACATAATGAAACATGCCATATAATTATATATTCTTATATAATATACATTTATTGTACCTCATGATTAATATATACTTGTAGAAAATATATATCTATTATATATGTGTATCATATACAAGGTGTGATAAAAAATGTTGAATGTCTAAATGTAAAATACATAGAAATTGGAGGTAAGTTTTAAAAATGCCATCTGTATGAAGAAAAGCATTACTAATGTCACATACTAATAAACATTGTTTTTCTTTAATTTCCATCATACCACTTAACTACATCCATAGTGCAATCATATGTATCATCAAACATTTTAAAGTTTCAGAATTTGTATTGATTATCTCCACTACCATATTTTTTACTTATTCCTCAGGATATCATAATCTAGTTTGCATTTACCACTTGCTTCAAAAATTTAACTCAGCAAGGTCACCTATTAATAGATAGCAAATTTTATTCTTATTTGAATTTCTGTTAGATACTACTTACAGTGATGGGAGATTTTATATATATTAATTAATCCTTCCACCCAAAATAACTCAAAAATTCACAATTCTTAGAGGAAAAAATTGATGTAGAAGTAGTTTCCTGATGTTAAATTATTTCCTGTTTTGTTCATTATTGTTTAAGACTTGTCTGTACAAATTATTCTGCCTTTATCTTTGCCTTATAACTTTCTTTGTGATTTCTTACCTTCAAAATACATTTTATAAAATATTTTCTGTAAATTTCCCAATATCTAATAGATTGCTTCTAAGACACTAAACTTCATTTTGCTAATAGATACATTAAATGTTTTGATTTTTAAATTTTGATTTTTAACTATTTTCATTTGATTACCTTTTGGCTTATTGGCTTTGGACATTAACAACTGTTATTTTGTCATAGAGGGGACTTAAAAGAGTATTACATGCACTACTTACATATTAATTCGTAAGACTGTTGGAAGAATTACATGAGGTAGAGTATACAAAGAGTTTACTATAGCATTTAAAAGAGAAATTCTATTACTTGTACCTTACATTCCCCCTTAATACTTTGCTCCTTTGTCTTCATTCTCTTAGTTTTAAGAGCCCGTCTTTTTAGTTGCTCTCTCAACCTTTCACTGGGGATTAATTTTTATTCTTGTAACTCAGGAGTTCCCACTTGACTCTTTCTCTCATTTCACCAGCCATCGTTCACTGAAGATTTTCCAGCCTCCATAGTTTCCCCTAACACTGAAGTTGTTTATATACACTTATGATTCAATTTCTAAAAACACTCCTTCTAGAAACTGGTCTTTAGTTCTAATTACTCTAAAAATGCATTCTCAAATAACGATTATGGAACCTAATTAGGGCAACTGAGTGTCACTCTTCTGCAAAAAACAAAAGTATTTCTAATCATGCAAAAATTGACAAGATAGAAATCGCAGTCATCCAAAAATGTTCTCAAGTCCTTAACAGTTACTGTCTAAAAGTGTTAGGATAAGACAGATACACTTCAAAACTTGTTTTTTATCCCTGCTATTAACCCAGACCACCAGGCTACCTCATGACTTCAGTCATCACTGGGCAACTTATCTTCTCAAAAGTACCTTACTGAGCCACCCCTGCACATTGTTAAGCGTGCTGTTCTCTCTGATTCTTTTTTGCACGGTAAGCCCTCTTGTAATACAGTATTCATAATGAGTAAATGCCCTTCTTCATTTTCCTTCATAAATTCTCCAGGACTTAATGAATTTCTTTGGCAAACATTTTGTGTGTATTTCTTGCATGATGCATTTCACAATCATTTTAAAATAAATCTGAATATATTCACTTTTCTGTAGACCAGAATCTCTTATTTCCTTTAATACTGAGTCATTGCAAGACGGTTTATTCCAAGTTATAAAAAAAGCAAACATTCTTTATACGTGACTTTTTATAATATCATTTCTAAGGATCACAAGTCTATGACACAAGCTTAGCTCATAGACATGCAGTACTGTAAGATAAAGTTTCAGAAGTCAGTGTCCCACAAGGAAGTTATTTTAGGACAAAATTTAAAAACGCAGATTTTAAAAGCATAAATCTTTCAAAATTCATGTAGCATATTTCTCCATTAAGGTAAAATTTATGAAGTCTGATTTGTGAGTATTTAGAATATCATTTGCTTTTTGAATTAAGGATGTATTTCATCTACTTAAGAGTTATAATACAGGGTAATGGTCATTTTTTATTTATATTTTATCTCTCATATAAATCTGAAATTTATTTCAAAACAACTAATAAGGTTCAGACAGTGACCATAGAACTTCTTTCAATTAATAAAAAGTGATTTTCCTAATAAGTTCTTCCTTGACAGTATAATTACATGCTTTATTTCACACTCTCAACTGCTGCCTAAACAATAACTTAGAATGTCACAAAGTGAGAAATAAGTTCACTTAAATAAATATGCATCAACCTACTTAAATAAATATACACTTGAGTACGTGAAACTCAAAATTTAGCCAAGATGAGGGAATGGAGAAAATTCTTTTCCATCTATTTTAACTTCATTTCATAAAATATTTGGGTAATATAATTTTTAATCCTCTGTATCATTTTTTTGTTAAGGAAAATTATTTTTTAAATTTATTTTTACTTCTTTTGAGAGTCTTTTTTATTCATTGTTAAATTTATTTATTTTTAAAATTAATATATGAATATTCTTTGTAGGAGGTTTCTAGATTTGTGAAATATGAAGAAGTTAGCGAGAGTGTCTTTCCATGTATTCCAGGTTGGTCTTGAACTCACTATGTTGCCCAAGCTGACTTCACGCTCATAGTGACCCTCTTAGCCTCCTGACTGCTGTAATTACAGGTGTGTGATACCATATCCCGCTCTTATTTTAATGAGGTAATTTTGCACCCATGGATATTTTTAACAAGGTTAAATTTTGCTGGAGGCACATGTGTCTTATGATTATATACCTGTGGAATTTTTAACAAAGTTTAAGGCACAATGTTTTAGAGAACACATTCTGATTTTGTTTACTTTGACATTTTAAAACTTAATTTAATAAACCTAACAGTGATTGTCCTTTAAGGGTACTTGATTCCTTGTGTGTAAAATAGCTTTATAAATTGGTAATTTTGTCACTACTCCTATCCATTGGCCTATTCTCATTTCATTTTAATAAAACAGGAAAAGTATAGTTTTCTCAGGCAAGAACTACCAAAATAAATGATGGAAAAATGCTACATGAAATCAGTGTTTTCCATCTATCTTCATATAAAAGTTCTCTAAGTTATATAAGCTATTTTTTACAATACTTCTTAAAGCAACAAATGCTAAGTATTAATATCCAAATCCGAGGAAAGACAAGAACCCAGATATTCAAATCCAGCACTTATAATTTGCATTTGCTTTCAGGGCATTTGCCTATCTAACTCAAGCAGCTGTGAAATTGAACAGTGTTTGGGGCAACTTTAAGAGAAAAAAATGGTATGAAGATTTTTCTCAAGTGCTCAGAATTTTCACAAAGTAAATTTTTCAAAGTAAAAACTATAATAACTTTTCTAAGATCCTCGCTTACTACAATTTCCAGATAAAGGTAAACTAGAATTATCAGGATATTACCACTAATAGCCATCCAAGTTTCTGTTACCTGAGAGGTACAATGACCTTAACAGGCTATAACTGCACTAAACATATTTCCTGAAATTCTAATGCCCATACAATGCTAGATAAAGCTAACAAAATTCTCTTCTGAGAAAATATTCTCTCTAGGCCTGAAATTATCCCAGAAATAAATTTTGTCCAATATCCAAGCTGCAGCTCAAAATAAGCACACAGGAGTGGAAGACACAATGAACGGAAACCACTAAAACAACAGACAGATAAAAGAGACAACAGCAATAAACATCAGGTGTGAGATTACAAAACAAAAGGAACTGAATTTAATATTATCAAATAGGATAAGGAAAAATTTGAAATATTTACACATAACACCAATTACCAAACATGAAATTTCACCTTGGAAAATAATTAAGTAACAATTTTGGATTCGGAGAAAACAACCGAAGATATAAATTGCAGGTCAGACTAGATGAGAGGTATTGGGAAAAAAAGTATTGCAGAATATATGTACTATGAAAGATAATAGAAGAATCACAGGTTAATTTAGAAATTAACCTGTAATACTTTTCCAGCCATACATACATTTCAACGTCACAGCAAAAATACATTTGCAAACAAAAACATAGAGTTAACAATACAGAAAGTTTTAAGAAAATGAGAAAAAGCTAATTGTAATGTAAAGAAAAGCGATTCTCAAATCAAAGATCTGAGGAGTTTAGAAGTCGTGAAAGGCAGAAATAAGATAAATACATGGCAAAAACAGCACTAACAGTAATCATAGAAAACACCCAAGAAAATATTTGCTTTTTTGTGTTATAAAAGAGACATAAGTATAGAAATGGTATTTACTGAATAGGAGAGCAAAGATTTTGATAGAGTTTTAGTAGGACTATGTAGACAAATCAGATAAGCTATTTCATAATATCAGAATTTCAAATCAAACTGATGCTGTTTGTTAAG